ATTAGTCTGTTTTTATTGATCCTAAGTTGTGGAATTGCAGTCAATAAATTGGAGACCCATTGAATTGTCATTGCTTACGTTGGTTTCACAATTCCAAATAGGTAGTAACGTGCTTTGGGCGCATTGACTTTGTTTCGCTGGCGTAGTATAGTTTAGTTTGTTGAGTGCTGGGCATATGATGTACTAGTGGGTATATATGTATGTGGCGTTAGAAATTGATAAGTATTGGTTCTGTTGATTGATATATTACTGCTACTGTCTGTCAGACCTACTCTGAACTGTCAACTGATCTTATATATTTTCTGGATTTACAGTCTGTAATATAATGGAGTTGGATTTACTGCTTGGTGTCATCTTCGATAATGTCTGTTATTGCATAAATTTAGGAGGGAGTGAGGGTTGGTTGGGCGCTTGAATAAGAAGCAGTCTCCTATAAACAAGAGGGACCTTGAACTTATTATGATGTACTAAAGCTGTCTGCATTCGTCACACGCAACTGTTGGCTGGTCATTCTATGCAGTCAGATTTATGTTTTATGGATTGAACTCGTGTTTATCATCCTCCACATCCAACAACCGATATCTGTTATGCGGGTGTGTTAGATATTATATGTGTTTAAACGTATAAGTCATATGAGGAGCCATTAAGAGTTTGGTTATGTGAGGCTCAGAGAGCACTGCTGGAGACGAAACTGTGATTGTCTGTGGTTCGAATTTAGTTTGTACATATCGGACTGTAAATTGGATTGAACTGTTATAGATTGTTTACATGTGTTGGTTGCTGTATGCTCTGTCTACTTCAGCAATGTTTTTATAATAGCTTATTATGTCCTATACATGATAGTAGTTATAGTAGCAGATCGTGTGTGTGTAGCGGGATGTGTTTTTATTGAGGCTAATTATAAATGCGAAGTTTTGTGTGTTCTTTATATAGCATGGATGTCCTGGTGTTGGGTTTGTTTCATCTGTTCTGTAATGGATACACAAACTGTAACATAAGCTTGTGGAAAGAGATTAAATCTGTAATCAGTCACTATCATTTGAGTAGATATTGTATGGTGTAATGTTTTAAATGTCATGAGTATAAACAGAGGACTTTGTTGGCTTGGATAGCAGGGGTATACAGCTGGCGAAGCTTCTGAACCGGACTTATCGATAGTACTCTCTATTCTACTTCGCTCCTTATATTAGAAAATAGAATGTGGGTTCTTGTAGTGTTGTATTCTACTAGAGATACTAAATCTCTGCCTTCCATTCATCGGAGATATCAATGGATCGAGTATAATGTTATAGCTTGTGTGAATTTTCTAGATAGATTTTTTATACCTATCTATTGTTTGCTCATTTCTTATATGCTACTACGAAGCTAAATTAGTCACTTGCATTAACAATAGAGCTATATACTGAGAATAATTGAAGGCACATTCTTTATAGAAACAAAAGGCGTTTGCAGTGTAGCTTATTCACTTCTCATGAAGAAATTATGGTGCTTATGTAGCTCAGAAGTTTTATTTGGGGTTAATCATGTTATCAAATGGAGATAGTGTTATTGTCTATTGATTGGTTGTGTTATATGTCGCAAGATTCTTTTAAATAGCTATTGTGGCTTTGCTAATGATTGGTTAAGATACACTGTAATCTGTGGCAGTTTAAAATAAAACAGTAATTGCCAAACAGTTTGTTATCGAATGAATTCATTTCATACATAAAAAAAATTTAGAATGTGTGTCAACTTAAAAAATATTTAAACACTTAAAATGGCTTTAAATAATGTGGGGGACTATTTTGGAAAACAACTTTATTTTATGATAATCAACTTTGAAACATATGTAGAGGATAGATAGATATCCATCTATCTAAGTTTCTAACAGCCCAGATATTTGTAATTCTGACCAACCTCCACATCGACCCCCTCGAGGACAAGGGTTACAGAATTGTGTTTCTTCCTTCTGAAGTCCCATCCCCATTCCTCCCTGGTCCTGGAGGTGTTGAGCTGTGTTGATGCTACCAATTTATTATTATTAAGTGGGTGGTAATTAAACATACCTGTTTGGCTGGCATCTATTCATAGTCTGACTGTTCATCCTCCCCAACCTTTGTTTTCTTGTAATCGTGTTACGTTACATTAAATTTGGCACAGAGAAAGCAAAAACAATGTGACTGAAATGTTGTGTGGTGAAATGTTGACTGTTAAATTGTTATATGTCGAAATGTTCAGTGTTTATCTAGTGTTGAAATAGAGCAGATCTGTGTGTGCGTGTTTAGCTTTCAAGGAAGTGTGTTTGTGTGTGCCTGTGTGTGTTTCTCTTCTAAGAAAGACAAACGTAACATAAGCTGTGAGAATAGTTTATTGGTGACAGTACATATATTTCCTGAGTATAAACACACTGACTTTGTGGCTAGAAGAGGAAGCATGAGGCTTTAACCAGACACATAGGAAACTGTCTTTTAAAATGTATTCAGACCAGATAAACCTGCCCTTCACAGTCAGTTTAATGTTTAATCTAGCACACAAAAACAAGTTATACATACTGCAGCTATGTGGGATTTTAGCTGTGTGCCACATCAGTTTTATGGTTATATTGGTTGTAGGCAGCAGAATAAACAAGGAAGAGAAACTGTTTTTCCAGAACTGGCCAAAATGCATTTCACTGCCCAACCATCCGGTCAATCATTTTTATTATTATTGAAAAACACAATACTTTCAAGTATTTCAAGTTCTTTGAATACATCCTGTACTGAGGCGATTATTTTTCCATTTTGAGCAACAAGGTTTTAACTAATATGTATATATTTTATATTACTGGGTATATGAAGCCTGTGGTTTGATAATATGTACCTGTGTTTGGAACATCATGCATTTAGGGATCTTAATAGACTAATATCTACAATTGAAGTACCTTGTGATATACTACATAATTATATGAAATATAGCAGCATATAGAAGTAAGACTTGGTGTGTTAATAGAAATACTTATATCCAATGTACACATAAGTGGCTGTATTTCCTCACTGTACGCTATCAGCATGCCGATGTTGTTAGTTCTACATCTACAATATGTGTAAGTGTAACAATTAAGGATGCTATAACAGTCCAAGGATAGGTTAAAGACTAATGTGACAATTCTCAGTTCTACCAGCTGATCGTCCCTTTTTCTGCAAAAAAGCCAGTTAAATACATTATAATGTTTAAAAAAATAAAGCTATAAAAATAATGTGACATTTTCTCAGTGAACATAGTGTAGCTTCACAGCCTGAAGAGCACTTGTGCTGTTCACAGTATCGAAGCGAGGCCCAGCCCCAATGTGTCCAGTTTTCCTCTTCAATAACCCTCACAAGCCCTGCTCGAGCCCCAGAGCTGACCCGAGCATCGCCCTGACTTTGCACATCCCCAGAGAAGCACGTAGACTCAACCAGGAGCAGGACTGTGAAGAATGGACATCAGCCCAATAATGCAGCATCTCCCTGGGGGAGATGTGGTGGATGGACACCATCGCCTGATAGCAGCAGCGCCCGTATGGCACACCTGGGCCACCAGAGAATAGTGGGCAGTGCGAGGGCAGCACACCAGCTGCCCGGGCACACAGACCAACAAACACATCCTCAGGGGGCAGAGGTGTGGATAAAGGTGATGCAGAGGCTGCCAGGGAAATTTTGAGCAATGCAGAGCGGGACAGAATATAGGCTGTACCACTGCAATAGTCTGGAAAGACAGAGGGAGGGTAGGCCCCTGAAGGGAGATAGTGCTTGCTTTCTGGGTCACGGTCTGGAGCCACATGGAGATGTACCCTGCCAAGGTACAAGTCTCCTTGTTCATACGGGTTACGGCTCTTGTTCAGGAAGTGCAGGAGGGCGCTGGGATTGAACAGGACATCATCATCCACTTTGGCCATGAATTGAGCCTGAGGGCAGAAGCGGCGGGCCCAGCCCAGCATGGACAGGGTCTTCAGGGTGAGGTTGGAGTAGGTGTCCAGAAAACGCCCCTGCACCAAGTCTCCTCGCTCTCTGGCCTCCTCTATCAGCAGCTTGGCCAGTCCAGGGTCAGACGCAACACCTACCATGAAGAGGGTCATGACCCGCAGGCCCCTCACCTCGACCTCCCCTCCCCAGGTGTCCCTGATGGCTTGGCGGGCCCTCTGATTGGCAGGAGCCGAGGTAACCATGATGATGAGGTATGGCTTGGCACGCTGGCACACGAGCGGACTGGGCATCAGCAGGAACTCCTCGGGTCTGGTGGGAGGTACGCTCTGTAGGGGGATGATGCCGGCGTGCGGCTCCATCACCGTGTTCATGCTCATGGAGGTGACCCAGGACTCGATGATGTCCACAAAGAGCAGAGCCAGCAGGGCTGCGCTCGCCGTCGCCGCGCACAGAAAGGACAAAACACCAAGCCTGCTCCCTCGCTTCCCAAAGCGGGACTTACATACCCATAGTCCCCGTCCGACCATGACCAACCCGCACTACCACTGCGCAGCTCTGAAAAAAGGATGTAGTCGCTACAGACTCCGTCGTTTCTCACTGGTGCTCCTTCCCTTGTCTCCACGGCTAGAACCCCTCTTCAATCATTGCGCGTCCTCCGCTTTTTCTCCCTTTTTGATCAAAGGTCCAGTAAACCCGCAAAAACCGGAGGCGAGTGCCGGATCGGTGAGGATGCGGTAAAGGAGCTGGGAACCCGTGTTGAATGCTGCAGCCCAGTTACTTTTACTAAAGTGGGATATGCAGCTGCGCAAATGAAGCGGTCGATTCGGCAGCAACCCGAAGCTATTTTCGCCCTGACTAACCTAGAGCTGAGGTCGTTTGCCACACAGTGGAAATGTGCCAATTCGGCCTCTAAATAACTCCACCGTCAGGTGCATTAAACGCGGTATGCTGGTCTGATGATTTGCTTTTCAAGATCATTTTTTTACCGGTCCTCCGGCTATTCCTCGACTATCCTACCAACAAACCAGCCTTAGGCACACGGATACAAATTCCTCTTTGCATTCAAATTCGTTATGGACAAATGTCGACCTAATGCACAATGCACTACCTTTTGTTCGCATCGGTGTGGCCAGTCTACGTATATTGGTTTAATAAATAGCCTACTATTTGTCAGATGTCACCGTTTGACCATTGGGCTAATTTAATGGTTATATCAGTAATGATACCTGGACTACAGAGAAAATGTAAAATTATACCCACGCTATTTACCAACAGACATAAATTACCATTGCAGCTGCAACGTGGACAAATAATGGCGAAATATTTATTGGCTACATGGATGGAGATCTAAAAAACCGGTGTCCTGTCGCCATGAGACGATATTAAATGAAGTGGAAAGAAGACAAAGGTTCCTATTTGAATGAATTGAGAACACATCAGAGGGAATATTTTGCATCACAAACATTATATGTATACCTATTATATTATATAGCCCACATATATTATTATAGTATATTGTATTCATACATATGCATATTCATATACATATGTTGCGATTATAACTGTGTTATAACTGTATGGTTGTATGGTGTTATATGGTTACAGTGCATGAATGCCACCTCAGTTGTGCAAAAACCACAGACACTCAGGAAACAAAAATGGGTCAAGTGGGACTTTGTAAAGGTTTTTGTTTCACATTGTTAAGCCCGGTCTACCTATATTGGTTTAATGAATCATATTTGTCAGATGTTACACCATTAGGCTAACTAAATGGCTATATCAGTAATGCTATTTGGACTACATATGACTGTAAGCCTACATTGTAATTATCCTATCATTGTAGTAGACAACACAGAGACACAGCACACACACAGCATATGCTTAGTTATTCTCGACAAATGGGTGGGTGCATGTTGTCTTGTCCTCTATATGAGGAGACCCGGTGACTCTTTAATGCTGTGGGGGGCATTTTCTGGCATGGTTTGAGCCCACTTCTCCCCTCAGAGGGAAGGGTAACTGAAAGACAATGCTAAGTGATCACCTTTATCCTACGATGAATGGTTTGATGAGAATAAAAAAATATGTTAATAATTATCTAGGGCCTTCACAGTCAGTAGATATATCTTATCTTATATCTGCTGACTGTGATCAACTCTTTATTAGTGAAAGGGGTATACAGCTCCCTCTTTACTTTTGACTCTTGAGCTGCTGTAACAAATACATTCAACCGTTGTGGTGCCAATATAGTTTATTTTATGTCTTTTACAGGTGCCACAGTTCGAAGGTCTGCCCGCGCCCTTTTAATATCCTGCATACTGTCCTATCACGCCTGGTGGTGCAGGGCGACACCTGGTGGTCATTCAGGGTTTTCTTTTGGCTGATATTGGACCATTAAAGCTCTAATTGTTTGCATAAAATGGGAGAGGTCGTGTAAATGCAGGCAAATGGCTCATGCAAATATAAAGTGAGTCTCTGATGATGATGTAGGTGCTCTACTTCAAAGATTTAAGTGCACCAGATAGATTATATTTGTTCATTCAATATATTAGTTGGAGTAGTTATTTACTTGACGGGGCCATGTAAACACACTCACATTACCATCATTTGTTTAATTACAAATAAATGTATAACAACTATAGATGAAACAATACAACAATGTTGTGATGAGATGGATATTTGTTTAAAGTTTGCAGAGAAATGTTTGAAGACATAAAAAATACCCTGCTCATTATAATGATTTGTGTCTGATGGTTTCCATGAAGAAGTCCTCCTTTTCCTCTTTAAATAAATCCAGATTATAAACTTTAAATACGCAGATATTGTTCATTTCAAAAATGTAACTACTGGGCACCAATGTTTTTATAGATAAATAAAACTAAACAAAAAAATAAAAATAAAATTATTTTTTAATTGAAATTAAAATAAAAACTAGACTAAAAAAAGGGGAAAAAAGAAAAAGAAAATGACTAAACTAAACTGAATAAAAAACAAAATAAAAGTAAAAATGAAAAATAGAAAACCATAATAACTGGGGCATGGATTAGCATAAAGGGAATGTCTGCAAAGGGGAGACTCTTGGGTACTCATAGAACCCATTTTTATTCAGATATCTGGAGGCCAGAGGTCAAGGTATGGTTGCTAACAATGGATGCGTTAGGTCATCTAGTTTCCATCTTCACCAGCTTTAATACGGAGCCCATTACAGCCTCTGAAAGAGAGAAAGAGAGTGGAAGAAGTTAGGATAATGGGGTGGCACTTGGAGTGGCCAATCAGATTTAAGGGGCCACCTCAGGCCACTCCAACACCCTCCCGGAAACCCCCCTGCCTCCATCCCCCTGCTTGCCAGTCGCAACATGATGTAAATAATATAATATAATCCATCCTGCAAGATTTTTTTTTCTAGTTGTTTTATATTAATTTAAACTAACCCTTCATATACAATTAAAATAAGAACACATTTTTTAAAAATGTATTTCATTTGCCACAACATAGTTCAAAGGTGGAAACCAATGATATAAAGACAGCAAGTTTCAGGCCTTCATTTGTTATTTGGCTGCGAACAACAGAGATGATATAAAATGATTAGATAAAAAATTATAAAAAACTGCTTTTTCTGTTAGGTATGGTGTTAGCAATGGAAATATTTTCAGAATATTGTGCTTTCTTGTAGTACTTTTACATCAAAATTGCCCTCCTATGAGATGCCAACACCAGCAGTGTCAATTTGAATTTGAGATCCCTGCTCCAGTGTTATACAGAAGATAAGTCACTTGAGAACTGCATTAAAAAATAAAATCCTAACCAAATGTTTTTTAACAGTGTTTGAGCAACATCTCTCTTAAATTAATTGTAAATGACCTGAAATGAAGGAATTGAGCAAAGTGTGTGTTTTATTGTTAATATATTAATATTTTTTATTAATATTACTTGTTATGGTATATTTATTGCTGTCATTTTATCAATCTTTACCTTTACACTTTTGATCTAATGAGGTTATACTCTTTTATATTTTACCCAAGGGTGTTTTATACAGTTTTTCAATATATTTTATGTTCTGGTGCTGCAATCTTGGCCAGGACACTCTTGTATTTTAAATCTCAATGAGGCACTTAAACTGCAATTAAGCAATATGAGATCATGCAGTTGTATAACAATCTACTGCTAAATATTCACACCAAGAGAAAGAGAAACCACAATGTTTTGATCAAGCAAAGTGATAAAAAGTTTGTGATCAAAGCTGTCTGGCTATTTTTTTTTTATAGTAATAGACATTGTGTTGAAAAGGGATGTCATATTTGTCACGGTGATGGTATTACTTCACATGAACAGCAGCTAACTGTACAGATGTTCATGGGACATTGGGAAAACAATCCACATATTTTTGTCCTGGTAACTAGAGCCAAAAAGAACTGACATTCTTCAAAAGTCCAGAAAACAAAGACAAAGAGTCAAATTTAAAGACATCACTACTACAGTTCAAATTTATTACATAAATGGAACAAATGGCTTGGAATTTAACCATTTTACTACATATAAATACATATTTGTAATGTAATGTCACTTGTGTTTTATTTTCCCATTGAGGAGAGCAGACACACACCCAATGAGAAAACAACGCTTGTCAGTTTGTCCCTAATACTTCTGTTTTTACACTTTTTCTTCTTCAATTGTGCTGATCTTACATCACATAACTTGACAGCAAAATCCATAGGTCAGACATAATGACGTCAGTCCTGTCTGGCTCGCGCCAAGGGTGGGTGGGGGTTGGAAGCGCGCGGGGGACGCGCACGAGAGGACGGAGAGAGAGAGAGGAAAAAAAAAAAAAACCCTCAACCATCCTCTACGCGCTGGCGGTGCGGGGTCACGAACTATGACCTTTAACAGAAGAAAACCAAAACAAATATTTTATAAAATAGAAGAGAGCGCTAAATCCGTGAGCACCGTTTCTCGGAGGTAAGTCTCAGTCCCGGGTTGAAAACCGCACAAAGCTCTCCGAGATACTGGATGATAAAAAAAAAAAAAAAAAAAAAAGAGCGCAGCTACTCTCCCAGCTAGCTTGTTAGCCTGCCGATGCGGAGCTCCCGTCCTGCCCGACTCTGTCTGCTCGGGGTCTGGGCAAAGGGACGCGAACCGCTGGGCTCAAAGTCTGATATGCTTTACAGACAGTTAAACTAATTATTAATAGGTGACACCGCTATTGTAACCTGAACCAATCCCTGCATGTTACACCGACAAGTCCAAGCGGAGAGACGGGTACAGTCGGCTCTTCATGCTGCGTTTACTTGTAGCTCTCTTATATTAGCGTGAACAGCTAACAGTGGAAAGCTGTAGTTGCTTGCAGATGAACTCGACCCTTTTACCTTTGCCGTCCCGGGGACAGTCGTGGGTTGAAATTACTATGAGTGTGACATTATTCACCAAAGCTGCATTTATTTATTTTACATTTATTACAAGCACATCGACATGAGGGTACACTCTGCTGTCTGGAAAGGAAATTGCTCCAATATATTTATCATTAGGATTCGTATCCTGTGTTATTGGCTGACTGCCAGATTCGCCATTTTGTTCTGTGTTTTGATGCGTCTCTGGAAGGAGGTGCTGATTGGCATTCAGTTTGTCCAATTGGTCAACAATATGAAGCATTATGCTCCTCCCTTTGGTCGCTGAGAATGTGGAGCTGCTGCAGGCACATAAATCAGGTTTCACATCAGCTGTCACACTGTATTCTTTATTAAAATCCCCAAATCAACAAAGACACAGGTGTACATGCTGCCACTTCATTCTTCTAAGGAGTGTGTGTGTCACTCACAATTAAAATATAGATTTTCAAATACAATAGTGGGAGGGGGTGTACCATTAGGTGTATTACATTTCAGTTGCATAGAAAGGATATTTGTGGATAGATAGAGTACTTAATTACAGTGTTTCTCTGCTAATTTAACTTTGCCTAGTGCTTGAAATGTGTTTATATAACTTTTAATGATTTCTCCTCTTTGCTTTTTTGCACAACTATCACCGGGTTTGCAAAAAAGAGTTTCCTGCTCGCAAAATATAATATTTTTTACGTGGTGTCCACTCATTCTGAGTGTGAATATATGAGGGATACACAACTTTTTGACTCTATATTCAGTATGAACTCATGTACATTTAAAAAATAAAGACAAGTGTAGGAAAAGCAGCTGTGGTCTCGGGATGTGCAAGAGGTGGTCGATTTATATGGAGGGACAGTAGTCGTCCACAGTGTCGCAGTGTCATATTGGACGCTGTGAGGTTCAGACCGTAGTGTAATCTGGTTATCAACGGTCTCTCAAATCTCATGTCCAGGTCACGCTCAGAGGTCATGGATTTGGCTTGTGCTGACATCACTGCAGTCATGCCAAGGCTGGATTTGTCAGACAAAACGTTTACCTAAGGTGTCTGAACAGGATGCATATTACAGTAGGTGTGATGTAGAAGAAAAGATTTCACTTGGGTGTTAATGACAGGTGGAGCAGTAAACAGATATTGTAACTATTTTGTTTATTATTTTCTGTTTTCTTTATTACCATTAAATTACTGCTCGTGTGAACTTGTGATTTGATGTATTAAAGTTGAAAAAAGAAAGCGTTTTTTAAGTTTTGAGTGAGGTGTTTTTGTGATAGCATTTTCTTTCTAGATTACTCGTGTTTTTAACAATGAAGAAAAACTCTTTCCACACAGACCTCACTAATGACCTCACATCATCATGACGACCAACCTCAATCTGCTCTCTCAGCAGAAAGTGGACTCTGAGCACGAGGCAGAGGTGAGTGTGCAAAGGAAGACTTGGTGATGTACTGTTTGCTGGCAGTCTGAGTTGATCCATGTAACCCATATGAAGGTTGTTTTTAATTGAAAATACTGTGGCGCTCCTTCCTTTGGCTGTGTGGTTAGTGGATGATACCTTTATTCGTCGCCATAGAGACACACTTTCTGTAGCCAGCTTCTCTTGGCAGTTCCAACTTGTGTTTACAAAAGAGTTGTATAGTAACATTTCCATGCTTTACATTGTGTAAAATAGATTTGTGCTGCAGACTTATTGATGTCTTTAAGCTTGTTGGAATGTATTTCAAATTGTAGGTGTCATCCTCTCCTTCAGACTCAGTGATGAGTGAGTCTCCACAGCGCTTTCAGGTCATCTCCGCTGAGCCTGCCACAACACCACAGCGAATACAGGTAATTGCTGTACTCTCAACATTAGTTGGCTTCAGAGAATGCGACACTGTTGCTACCTGGTGACGTTGTCCTCTTTCGGCGCGTTAGCCGCAGCAGTGAACTAGTTGATGTTACAACATGTGACTTAGCTCTCCCACCTTCAATGTCACTCACTTGTTTGTTTTTTTTACCCCATTGGTGCATGTTCATTTCCAACTCCCCCCTCTTTCTTTCTCCCTCCTTGATCTCTAACACCTTCAGATTGTAACAGACCAGCAGACGGGTCAGAAGATCCAGATAGTGACAGCGATGAAGCCATCCAGTGCTCCTAAACAGCAGTTCATTCTGACTACAGCAGACAGCTCAGGGGCAGGCAAGGTTATCCTAGCCTCACCAGACAGCCACAACACTAAGCAGCTCATCTTCACTGCTGCAGACAGCCTGATGCCAGGAAGGATACAGGTACATTTCCCCCATAATATCGCCCCCTGGGCTGTGATGATACTATTGGCAGTATCTTGGTGTTGACATTTGTTATTATTTTCAGACAGTGTTATAACAGTGATCTTGACATTGCATTAAGGTGGAGCACGAGATTAATGGCCTGTATTTGACTTTGCTTTCCAGATAGTCACAGATCCGGTGTCAATGGAACGGTTGTTAGGGCAGTCAGGGGACTTGAGCCGACCGCAGCCGGTGGAGTACTGTGTGGTGTGTGGGGACAAAGCTTCAGGTACTAAAGCTCACAGTTGCATTACCTGGGTGTTGTGCCTGTGCCTTTACCGATGTATCCTGATGCCAAATCTGACACGCCGTAAGCAATCAGACGTGCACCCACGCACGCAGTGACTCACACACTCTGACTAGTTTTCTCTTGTGTTCAGGGCGTCACTACGGAGCGGTCAGTTGTGAGGGATGTAAAGGCTTTTTCAAGCGCAGCGTGAGGAAGAACCTGACTTACAGCTGCCGCAGTAAACAGGACTGCGTGATCAACAAACACCACCGCAATCGCTGCCAGTTCTGTCGGTTGAGGAAATGCCTTAAAATGGGGATGAAGACTGAGTGTGAGTTAGGACACCATACAAAAGCATGTAGACAGTAACAGAAGTTGTAACATTTTATTGTACGTGGATGCCGGCTGTCGATTTTTAGACAGCAATCTATAGCAAAGAATAGAACTGAATTAAATTATGCAGGATGTAGAGAGCCGAGGCTTTGCTTTAACCAAATAATACAGGTTCAAGCCCCCTGATCCATTGCATGTCCTTAATAATTTGAAGAATTTTATTCATCAAAACCAAAAGGACCCTGTGTCTGCAACAAGTGTCGTTCAGCAAGACTCTCTGCTTGCAAGCAAAAACAACATTCCTCTGGGATCACTTTTATTATTGTAACCACTTACAACCATTAGGAAAAAAAGTAAATATAGTTTGTCTGCTTGGTGTTTATCCTCAGCTGTCCAGAGCGAGAGAAAGCCCATTGATGTAGTGCCCAGAGAGAAGCATGCAAACTGTGCTGCCTCCACCCAAAAGATCTACATTCGCAAAGACCTAAACAGTCCACTCATCGCCACGCCAACCTTTATCTCCGATACAGAGACAGACGGCTCCAGGTCAGTGGGAATCAGACCTACAGACAAACGTCAGGCCTGGGCTCTGTGCGTTGTCGTTCTCTCTCTCAGCTGTTGATGTTATGTGAAGTGGTTTTTGATGATGCTCTGTGTCATGCAGATCCAGCCTGCTGGACCAGGGGATGCTGGTTAATATCCAACAGCCGGTCATCCAGAGTGATGGAACTTTGCTGCTGGCCACTGACTCAAAGGTACAGCTGCAGTTACTGTAAATATAACATCTGTCTCTACTGCTGCTTGTTATAGAAGTATGATTCTTCAGACGGAGGAAGAATCAGCATTACGAGGCTGTTATATTTGGTGCTTAGTATTACTGTTTCAACAAATAAAGAAGTTTGAACCTGAACCTGTTAAGCTGGGCAGACACTGTACGGTTTTATTAATCTTGTATTTTTAACTCACATTTCACGTTTTAATCGTCTGTCTTAACCGTCAGAACCTGCAACATTTATGCTTACACTGTACGTAAGCACAGAACCCTCGGTCAGTTTTATCCATTGACAGTTCTAATAAAGTTTATTCAAACTAAATAACTGTCAAGGTTGACAAAAAGAGAGAAAGGCAGCATTACTTGCATTTCTATTTTGTTTACAATTTACAGAAACATTTGACATTGTATGTTGTTGATCACTGTTGCTTTTTATATATATTTATATGCACACCTGTTTGCACCTACTTGTATGTACATAATAATTCTATGTTAATGTTTACAGATTTTTGTTCAGATTTGCTGTCACTGTTTTAAGCTGTATGTCTCTCTCTAACGTCCGATAAATTGTTCTTGGAACTTCCTTGTATGTGTACACATACTTGGTCAATAAAGCTGATTCTGATTCTGATTCTGATTCTTATTATTAACTGAAACTAGGAAGAGAAAAATAATAATAGAGCTGCAAATGGCTGAAATATACAGACATTGTGGTCTGTCTGTTGTGCACTGAGGTTCAGTTATGTCACTGGTCTGAGTCAAGACCACAGTTTTAGCCACAACGCATACTGCTCTAACAATATTAAAACAAACTCATCAGAGTTTATAACAGATTTTTAGACGGTAGGTCTTTGATTGTTCAGGCAATTAATCAGCCATGGACACGTCCCTCAAATGAAAACCGAACTAGTAAATTTGTACCCAATTCTAAAATTAGTCGGGGGCGACCAATTTGTCTTCCCGGTTTAAGGCAGATTTGTTTTTTAGATCTTTACCCATCCCTTTAATATGTTTTAAGAAGCATTTGTCATTCCTTTTTGTTGCAGGCAACAAAATAATCTGCATTGTTTTATTTGTCTTCAGATGGACTCTGGGCAAGGGGACTTAGGGACACTAGCCAACGTGGTGACATCACTGGCCAACCTGAGTGACTCACTAAAAGAGAATCTAAACAATGGTGATACCTCGGACAGCCAACATGAAGAGCAATCTGCCAGCGAGATAACACGGTCAGTCAACAGATTTGCCTATTCTAGGCATTTAGATATTCCGTGTTTAATTTGAATTTATTAGCTTTGGTTTTTAACTGATTTGACCTTTTTCATGCCTACTCAAGTATGTATAAAATGATATGCATGTAAGAGCAGAGCATTTTCTGTCAGATCAATTCATTTAAAGGTGTGTGTGTGTTCTGCACAGTGCCTTTGACACCCTGGCCAAGGTTTTCAACCCACCTGAAGTAGGGATCGGACAGAGACTGGCAGATAAGTTGCAGTGTGTTGGTGGGACAACCATCCAGCTGATTGGTCGAGACCAGGAGACCCCCATCATTGAGGTGGAAGGACCACTGCTCACAGACAGCCATGTTGGCTTTAAGGTGGGTGGAGTTGACTCGTCTAACAGACACACTTGACTTGCATTATTAATCATTTAGGAATACAAATTGACAGAAACTTTTCAAGTGGCTCGTTGTCGAGTGCAATTGAGACACTTATGCTGGCATTCACCTGTAGGTCGTCATATTTCCTATTTCCTTTTCCTCTCTATCTAGCTGACCATGCCCAGCCCCATGCCTGAGTATCTAAATGTACACTACATCTGTGAGTCAGCATCCAGACTTCTCTTTCTCTCCATGCACTGGGCACGCTCCATCCCTGCCTTCTCAGCTCTTGGGTGAGAATACATTTGACACACAAATGCCTATATTATACTGTTAAACCCCTCTCAGACATGCATCCCTTTACCTCGTTTGATAGCAATGTAACGTGTTGGTCTCATGTCTGAATGAGAACCCTGGTCACTTTTACATAAAAGGCACAATGGCAATCTTACTATGTCAGACCAGGTAATGTGTCTGTAAGATAAGATAAGATAAGATAAGATAAGATAAGATGTACCTTTTTTGATCCCCCTTAGGAGAAATTCAATTCAATAACACTTTCATCATGTCACAAATCTGAATTTAATGCCATCTAATTAGCATAAAGGATATGCAGCAAACGCTTTACATTAAGCATGTGAGCAAAGTGGGATTAAAGATGAGTCCTTGTCGCCCTGTCAGTCAGTGCTTGTTCATGTTGGATTTTATATAAAACAGGCAGCACAGTTTGCTCTTTTAGCGTTAAATGGTGTCACTGGCTTTGCTGGGAGAAGCAGGGGCGAGTTTTAAAGGTTCAAACTGCAATATATGTTACACACACACTGCTGCAGCCGTGAGTGTAAGAACAAAAAACTACCTTCGGCCTTCTCTTCTATTATAACATTTTAAATAATAAATATCCATGTCATGTCTGAATGAAACCATAAGGAACATTAATGTAAAAAGTCAATTTAATAAAGCCAGCAATGTTGTGTGCTCCACGTCTGAAAAAGGGCTTTAGGAAATACCATTACACTGCAACCACTCGTCTGTTGTGGACATTACAGAAATGAAGTGCTTTTTCATCTATCTACATGCTGACACTCAACTATGTTTTTTGTCGCTCTGTTTCGCAGTCAGGAGGCGAACACCAGTTTGGTGCGAGCCTGCTGGAATGAGCTGTTTACTCTGGGTCTTGCTCAGTGCGCTCATGTAATGAACCTGTCAACCATCCTCGCCGCCATCATCAACCACCTTCAAAGCAGCATCCAGGACGGTACGGACCACAGACCTCGTCATCATTTCTCAGTAGGACACACACATATAAACACAAGTGTGAGTTGTTACCATAACAAACAAGGCCTAAAGCACAGAAGAACCACAGGGGAGGACTGTAGCTAAGTTTTCTCTCATTGCTTCATTCATTTGACAAGCACTTGGCATTGTAGGTATTATTCATTTGTTTGTGTTGAAACTTTTTTAAAAATCATGTGTTTTACCACTTTATTCCAGAATTACACTGAACCCCAGACAGTGCTGCGTCTTTGTTTATTTGTCCATGTGAGAAATTTTACGTAAATTGGAGAATTTATGCATATCCACGCTACAGTAAAACCTTGCTGGGTTAATTAGGGCCTACTACATGTTCAAACAACATGACAGCATTTTCATTAACTAACAGTGATGAGAAATTTTTTTATTGAGTGAATTTCCCGGTTAGATAATGCTTAATCAACCACTAAATAAGTAAATTACATATCTTGATATATCAAACTGGGGATTTTCTTCTCTCAGACAAGCTATCGGGGGAGAGGGTGAAGCAGGTGATGGAGCATATTTGGAAGTTCCAGGAGTTCTGTAACAGCATGACGAGGTTGGAGACTGACAGCTACGAATATGCCTACCTGAAGGCTATAGTGTTGTTCAGCCCCGGTGAGTCTGCTTTTCTTAGTCAAGCTGATAATAGACATTAGTGCTTTTATCAGTCGAATGAAAAAATAATTCATTCTTGCAACAATGGTTGTGTGTTTGACTTATCAGATCACCCGGGTGTGGACGGCAGCGGGCAGATTGAGAAGTTCCAGGAGAAAGCATTAATGGAGCTGCAGGACTACGTGCAGAAAACCTACCCAGAGGACACTTACAGGTACACTGATACCTCTAATCTAATCTCAACTCAACCTGCCCACCGTAGTGGTAGCAGTAAACCATAGTGAATTACATGTGATTGTTGTCTAAGTTCAACCTGATATGTAGTTAATTTTTAACAGTGATACTTTTATTCTTTGATAGCTTAAGGTTCAGAACAGTGATTCCCAACCTGGAGTACTTGTGCAGTTGCAGAGGTTACATGGAAAGATTAAGAGAATAAACTACCGGTTACAATAAGCCAACATCACATCATCCACTCCAAGCCTTAGTAGTACCAATGCAAACCTGAACAATACAGAAAAAAAGATCATTTATTTTGTCATTATACAGTCTCTTCACAGAAATAGATAATTACATTTATATATTTTGATAATATATTAATATAAAATAAAAGTAATATAAATATTTATTAAATCATTGGTTTAAACACAGAGTCCTCTTCCTCTGGTCAGAACATGGTCCGCCTGTCAGGGATCTGGGATGTTGATGGAGCAGATCTCTGTAAATTGATATGATTTCCAGTTGTTTGGCCAGTCCCCTTTCCATTTATTGCCTCCTGGGGCAACAGCACCACTGTTTGACTGTTCCAGGCAATATGTCTGGGTGGATTAATCACTATGGTATAGGAAAAAAATATTTTAACTCTATCCACTTTTATGTAATTAATAGTGTGGCATCCCGTTTAAAATCCATTAATAAATAAATGAATACATTTGGGACATTGCAGGAGGTGTTGAAGGATTAGAAGTAGAGGATTTAAAGGTCATTTAGGTAACATTTAGGAGGATCTATTGCATTCATAGGTATGTTTTCATTAATTTCGTTAAACTGCCATGTTTTCCAGAAGGGACAAACCTAACGCTGGCTCTAGATTGGGGTGTTCGCGTCTTTCTCTGCCACCCTAGTTTCTCTTTTATGCTTGAAAGGGGAGGGGTAAGTGATAGAGTTGCGATCTGCAATTACACCGCTAGATACCACTTAAGATACCACTTAAGATACCTGTAAGTGCCTGTCTGGTTAACTTGACATACATTTGAAGACGGTGACACAGTGAGTGCATCGTAAGGAAATGCCAAGGAGCTTTTAAGAACATCTTATTTTCAAAGTTAATACAAGATATCAAGACGATATGATTTTGCATGAATTGTTTGTTTCCCCAGGTTGACCCGTATCCTGACTCGTCTCCCAGCCCTGCGCCTCATGAACTCCAGCATCACAGAGGAGCTCTTCTTCACTGGCTTGATAGGTAACGTCTCTATTGACAGCATCATTCCCTACATACTCAAGATGGAGACGGCTGAGTATAACAGCCAGGACTCTGACCCTACAGAATGACACCCCATCACTCCAGCACCCAGAACTGTCGAATTAAAGATTAATGAGTCTCCACTTCAGGTACTCTCTGTCTCTTGAGGTTTACTGTTGAACCCCAGTCCAAACTCCTGCAGCAACTCCCTGTTTTCTAATGATGCATGGTGCAAAGTCATTCAGGAATCCTTGGTAGATCGAGATAATTTATCATTGGAAAGCCAGGATGAACATTTGAATGTTTTCTGGCTCTGATGCAGTGTGGTAATCTTGAGTTTCCGGCCTAAACTCAGTCACTTTGAACTGAAGGAAAAATGAATCCTCTGCAGCTGCAACAGTGCTCATCTCCTTTAATGTCTTTATAGCACTTCAAGCTGATGACATGTGAACTTTACCTTCTGAGCGAAGCCTTTTATATAGTTTTAGCCTTACCATGCTCTCATGTTGGTCACATAGCACTAGCAATTGTTGCAGATATCAGATGAGCTATATTAACAAGACCAGTCTGTAATCTAAAAATCACAAACTTACATGTGGAAGTGGAATTTCACCTATTTATTAAAAAGTCTAATCTTAAGACTCTTATACATCTGAGTACTTACCTGAAAAGTGTACTTCGAAGCTGTAAAGTAATGGTTTGTGTTGGCATTTGGGAACATTGGCACTGTGTAATCTGGTATTTTTATTGACCTTTTAGATCTGTTTATTGAGAATTCAGGCTTTTACAAAGTATGACTTTTCTGAATGTCATATAACATGGATTTAAAACGTGGTTTATAATAATTTTTCTCTTTTTAACCTTTAAACTGACACAATTGCCTAGAAGGTGCGAGACATTAGCGTACAGTTCTTTACATCAAATAACTTCAAATAATTGTTGGAATGGGAACTTCAATCAGGTACAAGAACTAACTTAAACCTCAATTAATCCTTAATGTGTATTGATATGGACTGCCTATCATAGCATTACCACACAGTGCATTCTCTGATCATTATAACAACCAACTTCTCTTGTTCACTTTTAACTCACATTCACAAGGTCTTGTAAGCCAAATTAGCCATTTAAATTGACAATATGTCTTTTCTTTTGTACTGAATGACATCTCAGAGATTTTAGGGTTTGGGGTTTTTTTTATGTTTAGGTACAGTTATTTCTGGGTCATCATAAATATGTTGCTAATATAACCTGTGCAATCACCTCATCACTTTTCCCTTTATGACAATCAATTATATGTTATTTCTTTCTGTCACATCAGTGTCATTATTGTTCTCAATCTGCATTTTGTATGTGTATTTATCAATGGCATTTTGTTTTCTTTTAAGGAATTAGATTAAGATTTTGGGTTCATAAATGTTACTTATGTGTAGCTATGCTACTGTTTTTGTACTTGTGTTTGCATTTGTACTCTGCTAAGTGCACATCAATCAGCTTCTGTGGCGTTCCACTGTGTTCATGCTGACTAAAACTTTGTGTTTTATATGTTTTCTAAAAACTTTAATTTGTTGTGAACAAATTTGCTTGTTGCATACTAAGTGTACTTAAAGTACTTTTGGGCAGGTTTCCCTGATTTAAAAAAATAAACTAGACTTTCTGGGAAGCCAGTCTCAAGTGCATTGATGTCTTGAAGACCCTATTGAGATGTGCATCGGCTTACCCACTTATATAACGGTTCAGAATAAGCATCCACAGCAACATGAATGGTAATGGGGATTTAAAGAAGTAAACAGAATTATGTCTTGTGAATAAATGTCAATTGTAATATTTGGGTTTAAAACCCATACAGACTGTTTGTAAAGGCACTGTCGTGAAATGACCTTTGTACATGTAATTTCATAAAAATGAGTGCATGTTGTTTTTAAGCTGGGTTTTATAATCTTGTCGCTGTCTGTTCTGATAAGGAGCATTGTTATCATTTTTATAGTGCATTGCAGTGCATGATGAAGTTGCTTAAGTGCATTTTATTAAATGCTGTATGAAAAATGTTAATTTAAATGTTGTGGCTTTAAAATATTTACCATGAGCAGCTCTCACATTAGAGGATATTAAATAAGAAAAGTTTTTTTTTTATCTCAGCTTTGTGGATTGAGTATCCTATGGTTCAAATTTTATACTATGTAAATGTAATTTGTTTTTCTGCTCATGTAAAATGTATTTCTTCAAACATTGAGATCGAGAAATTCAAACAACATTCATGTTTTGCTCAAGTTTGTCACAACCCTACATTTCTACCTCACACCGATGACAATATAAAACAAATGTATTAACGACTGAGCTCCTGTATCAGCATTCCAGTCTCTGAGGCTGGCTTCTCTGAAGCCACACATTATAAAAGAAATAAACAATTAATTATGAAATATGACATGACTGAGTCTGTTCATGCTGAAAGGGAAGGCAGTAAGAGTGTTTGTTATCCAACACCTGGATATCACAGCTGAAGTAAAGTGGGATTTCTCATATTAATAAAGATTTGGAAACAACATCACACCAGCTTTTTCCTCACTGACAACAAACTGGTTGCTGGGTGACGGTGACAACGTCTTCCGACGTCATCAAAAGGCGACTCTCCGTGTGCTTGTGCGACTCCAGTTGCAGACCTCCTTCCCATGTCATTTTTTACATTTACAAAAAGGACTTTAAAATGCCTATGAAGGGAAGATTTCCGATCAGGAGGACTCTGGAATACCTCCAGAGGGGCGAAATCATCTTTAAAAACAGAGTGAAGATCATGACGGTGAATTACAACACGCATGGAGAGCTGAGCGACGGAGCAAGGTCAGAGCTAACAGCTAACAGCTAACCAACACAGCTGCAGCGCAGACAGTAAGGTTAGGTCTCTGAAGCTGGTCCAGGAGCTCCACCACTGCTTTTACTGAGCTTATGTTAGTCTGAAGACACAAACATATGCGTTTAACTATTATAGAAGACAAAAACGCAGAGAGGTTTCAGATTACAGAAGCTGGAACTAAGTTAGAGTTTTTGTTGGCAGTTAATCGAAAATGGATGGAAATTGATTTTCTGTTGACTCATTTTGATTTCACCCTACGTTAATTATTCTATGTATCTGTTAGCTAACGTTAGCTCTAATTTCATGCACTAAACGAGTCAAGTAAGTTACCAGCGCCCGTTTCTCTCCCAAAAATAACACTTAAAAAGTTCAAATGAAGTTAAAACACATCCATGTAAAAACACTTAGTAGCAGTAGTGTCCATGCAAATAACACGAGACAATGAATAATATTACTGTTCAAAGATCATGAGTAATGTGGACGGTGTTATTGGTTAGATCAAATAATAATAACCTTAAGGCCGTTGCTATGACAACTAATAATCAGAAAATACAAGGGTAAATTAAACACTCATGCTATTGTCCATTCGGAACAGCTGGACTTGGAATTCACAAATGCTCAAAACAAGCTGTTGTTAAGTTGTGTCTTTGTCCTTTTTGTTTTGCAGGAAGTTTGTGTTCTTCAATGTTCCTCAGATTCAGTACAAAAACCCGTGGGTCCAGATAATGATGTTCAAAAATATGACCCCATCACCGTTCTTGAAGTTCTACCTGGGTGTGTAGCTTTGCACTGTTGTTTGACCTGTATTATTATTATTATTATTTTTTATCATAGTATTCATATTACTAGAGCATTAGTAGCAGTGTGGTTCATTTTTACAACTTAAAGTCAATTACAAATCAGTACAGTATGCAGAGAAGCCACAGTGAAAAGGAAACATGAAAAGCCAGAAAGCTGAATTCTAAAGGCTGGGCTGAAAAGGAAAAGGGAAAAGAACAAAACAGAGAGGGAAAAGTACAGAGCACTAATTTGTGACATTGTACGCACATTTCTCTGAGTGCACCTGTGTATGATGTGAATTTGCAGTGCAGATACACCTTTGTCAAAGGAAAGCTGGCAATGTCACCTGTGGACATCCCGTAACAAAGATTAGAGACGAGGCAAGTTTGATAGAGAGGCCAATCCCACAGACACATCCACTGCACTATGAACTGACAGCCCGACCAACATGCAGCATAATTGGAAATCTTAGTTCAAAGCACAAAAGTTTGATGTTTTGGTTTCACAACCTTCAAAAGTTGTATTAACAGTAGGGATGAGCGATATGTTATCGTTTACGATAT